AAGGAGGAAGCTTTTGTGGCCGTTTCCCCCTGCCTTGGTGCTCCAGCATCCCGCTGCTCCCGGCAGGGCTCATCCCGGGCCACCTTGGCCTCTCCGACGGGCCCCATCCTTCCTTGCGGGGCAGCCGGGTCGGTAATTCCCTTCAGCCATCCCCGTGTAGCTCCCCTCACCTGCTCCTCTAAGCTGCCTGGGCTCTAATCCCCGCTCAGCAGTGTTGCCGAAAAAGTGACAGGGAGCGACGGCAGCTTATTCCGCAAGCGGCTTTGGCGGCAGCGGCGCTAATGCCCCGTGCCGCAGGTGTCCCCGGTGCCGGCCCCTCTTCCCGAGCCCCCCGGCAGCGAGTTTGCAGGATGCAAACGCTACGTGCCGCTTCTCCGGGGCTCTTGGAGCCGCAGTGCCAGGAAGCAGCGAGTGCTGGAGATTGCAAAGTGCTCCGAGGATGGGCTGACAAGAGGAAAAAAAGCGCTATTCAAAAGCTAGTGCGCGGTGCTGATATAACACTTGCCTTTTTCAAGGCATCTCCCTCATTTCTGTCCCTCGCGCTTTAATATCGGGGGTGGGATGTCCCTGCGCTGGTGGCCGAGGCCGCGTGTCCATCCGTGCCGTGCAGCCCTCGGTGCCCTCCCCGTCCCCATCCACGCTTTCCCGGCGCATTTTGGGCCATGCATGGCCACCGTGCCCCTGCAAGGGGCAGCAATCGCAGCTCCCGGCCAGCGGGTGTGCAAAAGCTACCATAAAAAGCAATGTCAGGGAGCAGCATCTGATCCGGGCAGCTGGGTGGCCGGGTGACGCGCCCGGGAAAGTGCACTCGCTCCCTGATGGCTTTTTCAGGTGGCCCCGGCTCTGTCCCCATAAGGGGGACAGCAGCAGCAGGCGCCGGTGTCACCGGGTCTGCAGCACCAGCCGGGTTGTCCCCCCGGGTGGGCTCGGTCACCCCGAGTGGTGGTTGTTGGCCAAGCAACAACCTGGTTGTTCGGCCAAGCTCGGTTGTTGGCTCGGGGGGACACGAGCTGCTGGGCCGGCTCATTCCGAGCAGGGGGGGCGGCCGAATCCGCAGCCTTCCCTTTGGAACCGATGCACTTGCTCACATGGGCGCGTGCGCAGGGGTGCCACGAACCCGCAGCCCCTGCACCTGCAGCTTTGCTTTTGAGACGAGGTTTTAGCAAAATGCCACTTTGGAGCATTGCAAAAAAATGCCACATTGGAGAATTGCAAAATGCCACTTTGGAGAATTGCAAAATGCCACTTTGGCCACGCGTGCACGGGCAGGAGATGGGGGCCGTGCTCTTCTTCTCCTCAGCGCGCAGCCCAGGCCGCTGCGGCGCCGCGAGCCTCGGCGAGAGCAGCTGCAAGAGAAGGGGGAAACGGTTAAAAATAAAAAGCTAATTGTAAAACCATAAGGGTTGGCAGGCGAGCTTAAAAGCAGATTGGGAACTTCAAAGTACTTCTACCAGACTTTGCAGAATTGCCTAGATTTTAAGTAGTTCTTTTTTTTTTTAATTTAAAAACACACCCTTAGAGACGTGAATTGCCCTTAACAAAATGCAAGGGTGTTTCCCGCTCTGCTCGCAAACGTGGTACCTGGGCTGGGGTTTATGGCTTCTCCTGGCAATGGGATGGAAGCGCTTGTGTCGGGAAGCGCTTTCCCGGGAATCCCGGGGATTCGCCGGGGGGGACACGTCCCACTCGGCCCCTCGTGCTTGCACGCTGAGCAGTTTTTTTTTGCCCCAACGTGGCAGTGAAGCGGCGCGAGCAGACGCTGCAGGACTACCGGCGGCTGCAGGCCAAGGTGGAGAAGTACGAGGAGAAGGAGAGAACCGGCCCCGTCCTCGCCAAGCTGCACCAGGTACGGAGCCGTCGGAAGCACCACCCGGAAAGGGCCATTTTTCCAGATAAAATTAGCACCTCCAGGGCTTGGTATAAATGCAATTAAATTGCAGCCCTCAGCAGAGGGGCAGAACCGAGCCCAGCTTTTCACGTTGGACTCGGTTCTGCCTCTCTTGACTCGGGAGAGTCCAACATAAAATCCCTGGGAACTTCCCACCCCACCATGAGAGCTGCTGGCGCCGTGTCCGTGGGGTTGCCCTTGACCTCCGTGTCCCACCAAACAGCTGGATATATAAAGAAAGACCAGAGCTTTTCCACTCTTTATACAGGCCACCTGTTACAAAACAAACAAAAAAAAAAGGCTTGGAAAATTGCAGTAATTGGTTAACAGGAACCTTGGCCAAATTCTTTCGTCTTTCCAAAATTGTTAGCAAAAATCATGATCTTTTAAACAACGTCTCCTGCAGCGCTCCTGCCCAGCGCTTGCTGGAGCCCCGGCACCCGGCTCAGCATCGGAGCACGCGCGTTTCCCCATTGCTCTGCTCCCCAAATTAAGCATTGTGTGAAAGAATAGTCCTATCAGCAGTAACAAAAGCGAATTCCGATTTAATAGTAAGCAGCTTACTTTGCTTAGCCTCAGTGACTAAAGCCGCGCCTGGAAAATGTGAATTCTTTTGTCCCAGCGATTAAGCGGGTTTGGGGTTATTTATTTTTTTCCCCCCCTCTAATGAACTTCAGAGTGATCTAAACCCCCGCAGCCGCCAGCAGAGCTCGGCATGAGCCCCAGCGCGCTCTTGGACCCGGATCCGGCACGTTTGGACCCGGAGCCAGTGCATTTGGACCCGGATCTGGCGCGTTTGGACCCAGAGCCAGTGCGCTTGGACCCGGAGCCGGCTCATTTGGGGAATGCTGACCCGGGGCAATCGCGGCCGTGCTGGGACGAGCGTCGGCCCCGGTGCCCGCGTGCGCCGCCTGCTCCTGCGGCTCGGCC